CCTTGCACCTCTATCCCTACAGTTGTAATTAAGTAACTTGAAATAATTTTTAAAAAAACATGTCAAAATTGAGATTATTACAAGTTACCTAATAATTTCCACTACATATTTCTATTACAAATTCAGTCATTTACAATCGAAAATTGTAATTTTTGGGTTGTCATAAAAATTTAGTTTTCTCCGTATATCTAAATAAGTAAATGAAGCAAAAGAGTCTGGAAGAATGCAGAATTGACTAAAATATGGTAAAAGCAAATGTAATTGCTTTATCATCTGTTACGGAGCGTGGCTTATGTATCTTCCGTCGGTGTACTGCTGTACCACATAGATTGTTCGTTAAGAACAATCAAAGAACTCGAAGGACCAGCGTATGTCCGATTAATAAGATGCGTATCACTTAATACGTTTATTAATCTTATACATACACACGACAAATTAATCTAACTTAAATTTACGATTACAAAAAATGAATTGAATTTGAAAACGATTAGTTTGATAGATGTGCTATGACTGAACCGTTCTGTCTTTTTTTTATCTGAAACTATTTCTCCCACTTGTATCACTTCTGTTTATGGAATTTTCCCTGGTCACTATCTCCAACGTCACTGGTCACGTACACTAAAAGGTTTAGGTAGCATACAATGGTTTTATAATTTAGGGAAAAACCAAACTACAAGAATACAACTCAGATGCACTGCAAATATACCGAAAGCTGCAGTTAGAATAATTTGAAGAAGTCCGCAGGTATAAAGTCTTAACATGATCATTGTCATCATCATCATCTTGATTTTACCCCCCTCTCCCCCCGTCCATTGGAGGACCCTACCTGTAGTAACCTTATTACTTAAAATTTTGTTTAATTTCTTCACATTGTCTTGAGCTAAACTTCAGTGTTGAGAATTTTAATTTGGCGAGTTTAATAAAATAGAGTATTTTATAGGTCCACTGTTTTCTTTTACATTGATGCACACTCCTAAGGCGATTTATTTTGAAAATCAATGAAATTTATGNACGACCCTCAAAACCCCCGAGTAATTAATTTCAATTGATATTTAATGAATTTAAAACATAATTTCTGTAGACTCACCTGTCGCCTGGGCTGCAGGAAGGTGCCTTGCAGGCCGTTGCCAACTGCATATTCGTGTTCAGAAGTTCAGCGACCCTCAAAACCCTTAAGTAACAACATTGGACTTTCTATTATTACTGATAGAGTTGTTTTTTATAACAACTTTCTAAAACACTTATTACTGCATTTTTCTTATGCATCGATGTATTTTTGAAGATGAATTGATCTCTTATGTTTACAAAGTTTGTAGACAATCTCACGAATTAAATGCAGTAAACCGCATCTCGGCTCGACTTAGTGCACTAAAATTCGAAGTTGTACATATACAAACTCTTTAAATCATGCAAGTAAAATATGCGAAACAATTGCTAAATATAGCTTTCAGTTATTGCATTCCAGAAAAATGGTAACAAATCCTGTTGCTAAAGCAGATTTTATATGGAACATTTAAAAATAACTTCACTTTATAAGAATCCTATGTCATTTATTACCTAAGGTTGAAATTAGAACATGGTTACGGAACCCTGATGGGTGGGTGTTCGACACGAATTCGACTTATTTAAATTTCATTTGATACAAAAAAAATATATAAAAAACGAGTAAATATTTTTATTGCGCATGAAATACACATTCGTCGTTCTCCTTTTCTTTTAAATCGATGCATGAGTGTTAAAAAAATTAAAAATAAATATAAATAAATTTTAAAATATCCAGTAAATTGCAATTTACTTCAAGCTCAATAATTAATAATAATTCATTGGTTATTACTCTATAAAATTACTTTTATAAAAGTTTTAACAACCAAAACGGTTATGGACTGGGCGGTGCGGTGATTATTCTATCCATTTTTGTAACGGACTTGGCGGAGAATTGCACCCACTTGCATTGGATTTTGATACATTAGTCCCATGTACGAAGGTTGGTCATAAACAATTCTGTAGCGATCATTCGTCAAATTTAGTTCAATGAATTACTTATTATTCGACCGAGACAAGGAAAATAAACACAATCACCTACCAAACTGACTCATTAGTGTAAATTATGATAAATTAAACTTTTAAAATTTATTCACTAGGTAATATTCGTATTAATGTTACCCGTCACTTACATNGCTTCTGACTCTTAATTCCACTCAAACCGCCAAAGAATTGCTATAATAATTGTGAGATATTCTTACCTCAAATGCAAGAAATGCAATTTTTTACCTTTTTGGGAGCATTAGGTAGATCAAGGATAGTAGACTATAAAGATGGCACACATACCTATGCTCACTCTATTTGAAAACGTGCCATTTTGTGTTCGCTTTGAGGGCAGGCCTGACGGATGACGTTTATCAACATCTATCAGTTAATTATTTAATTAATACACATCTTCATATGTGTTTTTCGACTTTCGTTCATTATTTACGGAACTGCTCACGTGTTATCGTTACGAGAAAACTACCAAAGGTTCTGCTTGTTTAATAGTTTTGAACGCCTATTGTAACATTTATAAATTGCAATAGAAAGAAAAAGTCAAATTTGTACAAGACATCAATTATTAGAGATATGAATGAGAATGTGAAACACTTTGATAAAAAACAAAAGTGCAATTCTAATTCTCACCTTGATAAAAAGCTTCATACTTTTGGAAGTATTAATTCTCTGTTATTTTAGCCCTCATGGTTACAATTTACCAGCAGAATATACAAAATTAGCTGCAGAGTGCAGTCGTGGACGACCAGTATTTATGACTCGAGAAGAAGATTCAAATTGCTTGGAAGATAAACCTGTATGGATCTGTAAACCTGTGGCTCAAAGTCAGGGACGAGGAATTTTTTTATTTCGGGTAAAACTATTCCGGAAACAATAGCGCGTTACTGTTTATGTAGGTATTGTTAATTTGTGGATTAATTAAATGTTAAAACACAAATGGTCAAATTACACCTACCTTACATCGGAAAATTACGGTTTACGTTTATTCGGTATAAATAATATCGTATTAAAGCTATTTATATTAATTACTCGTCTGGGTAATTGAAAACATCGGAGACACGGTCTACCATGAACACAAAATCAGTTCTAATACTTTGTACTACAAGTAAAATTTTCTATATTGTCAAAGATACAAAAATATTAATTCTAAAATAGTGAGAAATATAGTTTAAATTTAAACAAAATAGAAAAAATTAGAACTTAAGATTCTGGCAGCACATGAACCGTCTTCTATTATTATCATCATAAGGTTAGCTAAACTTCAGTGTTGAGAATTTTAATTTGGCGAGTTTAATAAAATAGAGTATTTTATAGGTCCACTGTTTTCTTTTACATTGATGCACACTCCTAAGGCGATTTATTTTGAAAATCAATGAAATTTATGTGGGGTGTAAGTAATGGCTATAGCATAGCCTATCGACAAAAGCGTCGTTACGTCATTAGGCTCCTTGTTCCTCTTTGATATAATCTCATCAGGGAAGAATGTGTAAGAAATCATATGATTTACTGTTTAACGAATGAACAAAACTATTATAAAAATTAACTTTTGATAATTCGTAAAATTTTCAAGAGGGTACTTTTTTATATATAACTCGCAAAAGATTGAAAAGCTCGTGGTTTTAGCCAAGGGTTAAGAAGCGATATGAAGCGAGACGACGGAAAATAGATTCCTGTGCGGAAATTTTTTGACATCAGTCTTATGATAATCAATAAACAAATAAATTAGCGAAGACCTTCAGTAATCAAAGAACATAATGGCATAATTGGTCATATTGGGTTTATATCAGCGTTAAACATCATATGTTTGCTTTCTCCACCGTCGTCATTCTCGCGACCACTGAGCCAGGAAATAGATTGTGACCTGAGGCACTTTTTGTATTGAAATTTGCTTTTAGTTGGGAGTTTAGGTAATGAGAGTACTATACCTTTATACGAGGGATGTTTCCAAAGTTCTGGGAATTTAGCTATAATTTTTATTATTTTGTATTGTCCTAATATCCATTTAACTGAATACATTTATTCCAACGATAAAATAAATTTTTTCGTCGTCCTCAGTTAAACAATAGTTGCAATAACGAACGCTTATGCAACTTTCCAAGCCGTTTTTCGACAAGTGCCTGTTGCAGTGGTTCGGATCTTAAATTCGAATAATATTCTGCGTTAATTGTAGTACCTTTCGCCAGATAATCCATAAAAATAATCCTTTCACAATCCCAGAATACACTAAGTATTACCCCTCCAATAGATGGAACTGCACTCGCCTTCGGTGGAGGCCCTTCTTTAGGTATGCGTTATTCTTTGGATTGACTTTTGGTCTCAGGATTGAAAGAATGAATCCACGTTTCGTCAGTGGTTATTATTCGTTGCCAAAATTCATCACCGCAACGGGCTAACAGCTTTTGAAGTTGACAACAAATATCAGAGCTACTGAGTTTCTGTTCCTTGGCACTTTATACCCAGCACGCCGAAACCTTCCTAACGCCGAAACAATAATGCAAACAAATAGTCATTCGCCTGTCCTTTTTCGTTCGACGGCAGTAATGTTTCATTCATTTACCGACGCCCGTGGATCATCTTCTAGTGATGTTCTATCGATTTTAAAATGATCGATCCACCGAAAAATAGTACTTTTGGATTCTGCAGACTCCCCAATACTCCTTGCAGACGCTGAATAATTTTTGATGTTTTCACATCTTCTTTCCACAAAAAGGAAATCATTGCTCTTTGAGATTTTACTGTGTCTTCCATGGTTATAAAAACAGTGATATGAAAACGCGTTTATATCAGTCGAATACATAAATCAGACTGAAAACTATTCACTAGATAGTTGCATAAACATGTCAACACTTGTCTGGCACCATTAAACTTCTGCGTAATTTAATTACAACTCAATTCCCAGAACTTTAGAAACATCCCTCGTGGATTAATAACTTAAAAAGCTTGAAAAAGGTTCCAGTCATAATCGTAAAAAAAAAGCATGGTTTTGTGTGTAAAACAGACAAACGAAGCAGGTATTAACAGTCAGTTCGATTATTTCCACGCACTGCATTTATTGTATTTGCATCTATCTGAAGTTTACTTGCCGTAGCTGTACGTGAAATATTTAATTTACTAATTCAACGGTTAACATGGTTTAGGAAATTAAAACCTGAAAAAAATCATTTTTGATGTAGCTTCTGACTCTTAATTCCACTCAAACCGCCAAAGAATTGCTATAATAATTGTGAGATATTCTTACCTCAAATGCAAGAAATGCAATTTTTTACCTTTTTGGGAGCATTAGGTAGATCAAGGATAGTAGACTATAAAGATGGCACACATACCTATGCTCACTCTATTTGAAAACGTGCCATTTTGTGTTCGCTTTGAGGGCAGGCCTGACGGATGACGTTTATCAACATCTATCAGTTAATTATTTAATTAATACACATCTTCATATGTGTTTTTCGACTTTCGTTCATTATTTACGGAACTGCTCACGTGTTATCGTTACGAGAAAACTACCAAAGGTTCTGCTTGTTTAATAGTTTTGAACGCCTATTGTAACATTTATAAATTGCAATAGAAAGAAAAAGTCAAATTTGTACAAGACATCAATTATTAGAGATATGAATGAGAATGTGAAACACTTTGATAAAAAACAAAAGTGCAATTCTAATTCTCACCTTGATAAAAAGCTTCATACTTTTGGAAGTATTAATTCTCTGTTATTTTAGCCCTCATGGTTACAATTTACCAGCAGAATATACAAAATTAGCTGCAGAGTGCAGTCGTGGACGACCAGTATTTATGACTCGAGAAGAAGATTCAAATTGCTTGGAAGATAAACCTGTATGGATCTGTAAACCTGTGGCTCAAAGTCAGGGACGAGGAATTTTTTTATTTCGGGTAAAACTATTCCGGAAACAATAGCGCGTTACTGTTTATGTAGGTATTGTTAATTTGTGGATTAATTAAATGTTAAAACACAAATGGTCAAATTACACCTACCTTACATCGGAAAATTACGGTTTACGTTTATTCGGTATAAATAATATCGTATTAAAGCTATTTATATTAATTACTCGTCTGGGTAATTGAAAACATCGGAGACACGGTCTACCATGAACACAAAATCAGTTCTAATACTTTGTACTACAAGTAAAATTTTCTATATTGTCAAAGATACAAAAATATTAATTCTAAAATAGTGAGAAATATAGTTTAAATTTAAACAAAATAGAAAAAATTAGAACTTAAGATTCTGGCAGCACATGAACCGTCTTCTATTATTATCATCATAAGGTTGTCAGTCCTAAGACTGGTTGGTTGGACACGCACCTCCTCTCTTTCCTACCCTGAGCATTTCTCTAAAACTAGAACAACCCACATCCTTAATTAGTTGCGAACAATAATCTAATCTAGGCCTAAGGCCTACCTCTGCCCTTCCTAACTCCCGTTTCCACGTCTAATATACCTCCGACTAGACCTTCATGCCTGAGAGGGTGTCCTACCAACTTATCTCACCTATTTCTTATTGACTTCCATAGAGACCTCTGTTCTCCTATTCTTTCTAATACCTCTTCATTTCTAACCACATCTCGGAAGCTTCTAACTTTTTCTTTTCGGCAGCGCTCACCGTCCATGTTTCGCATCCGTACAGCGCCGCGCTCCAAAGGGCATAGAAGTGACTACTATTTATTGAAGGCTACTCCACCCTGCGCTATCGTCTGCTTTATATCCCTACTACTCCTTCTATCCTGACTTATGATTTCCTAGATACCCAAAATCAGCCACTTCTTCTAATTTTTCATCTCCTATCTTTATAATTCTCTTTACCTACTTTTTCTTCCTTTGCATACCAGTGTTTTTGTTTTACTTTTATTTATTTTCATGCAATACTGTTTTGTCAATATGTTTTCCACTTTATTTAAAGCTGTCTCTAACTCCTCCTTGTTAAATGCTTTTACCGTTATATCACTTGCAAATCTAAGCATATTAATCTTTTGCCCCTGAATGTATCTATCCCTACAGTTGTACTGTCTTTATGATGTTTATCGCGTCTTCGATGTACAGATTAAAAAGTAACGGTGACAGTTTGCATCCCTGTCTGACTCCTTTCCTAATATTTACTTCTTTACGTTGCAGTTCCAGCTCTATAGCTGCCTGTTTCTCTTTAATAACTACAGCAAAAACACTATTAAGTATCATCACCATCACAGTCAGTTAGATGGGTAGTTTGCTTTCCCTCCTTTTTATCCTCAGCTAATTTTCGTACTTCTCGAAATCTGGAACATCCAACATTTCCAACTATATATGAATAATAATCTAACCTCAGTCTTTGTCCTTGTCCCTCTTTGTGTGTGTCCTTGTGTCTTATCTACCCTTTTCCTTATTAACTTCTATTCTTTTCATTAGGTACCTCCTGATGTCTAACTTTTTCTATCCAAGGTATTTCTATTACCTACCTGTATCACCACACTTCAAGTGCGTCTAAATTTTTTCCGACGGGTGTAAAGATTGCGGTCGTGCTTCAAACATTAAAAAATGTACTTAATTATTGACAATATTGTTAAGAACAATAAGACGAAAAATAGACAATCGGTTCATTTATTCTCTAGGGCTCCAGTCTAATTTGTCTAAGCGTTGAAATTTAACTGAATTTATTTAATACCATTGTAATAATTTTTTTTTACGAATAATGTATTGAACATACAATTTAATAACTGCAACAGATACTGTTAACATATCTTCCTCGTAATTTTAGAAACTCAGCGAGTTAACATATGATACTAACACAATAGTTCAAAGATATATAGAGAAACCTCTATTAATAGGAGGTTACAAATTCGATCTAAGGCTATATGTTTGTATTCCATCTTATTATCCCTTAGTAGTTTACATGTATCGCGAAGGGCTGGCTAGATTTGGAACTGATAAGTTTAATTTAACTGATTTGAGGAATCCATTTCGTCATTTAACTAACAGTTCAATTAACAAGCTCGGCCCAGGATATAGTGAAATGAAAGAAAGGGTTGGTTCTGGTAAGTAGTAAACTTGTACATAATACAGTAAAAGTTCCTTATTCACGGTTTTCTTATTCGCGTTTTCATTATTTGCGGGTGAAAAAATTGCAATCCAGCTCCTGTATTCGCGGCTAAAAATTTCATTATTCGCTGTTGAAGTCAGCAAACAGAAAAGAATTGGGTGTCATTTATTAAGGGGATTTATCGCAATAGACCGCTCGTGCCTAGTGTGAATTTTTCCAAAAACATGGGTTCCTATTCTAAACATTGTGATTTAACGCTGCGAGATAAATATGTGATTTTTTGTATGGTAACAGATAAAAGTTCACATTAACTTGGTACGTTTTTGGTTTTTAATAATATGGTCACTAAAAGCTTTTACAAGTGCTTAAAGTTGATGGTTCTTGCAGGACACATATTTTCAAAACAAATTAAAAAAATAAAAAATGGCCTTCGACAGGCTTTAGAACAAAGCTTTATCTATCTTCCTACAAAATTTCAAACCACTGTTACAAACATTAAACTCATGATATCTAGAACCAATAAGCATGTTCTTACTCTACGGCGCATGTACTACCGAATCCCCTCAATGTATCGGTATCTTTTAAGTATGTACTGTTGGTACATGCCGAAGATACTTTTATAAAGGATGTAACCGAGTGGATTAATTCAAAATTCAAAACAAGAAGAAAGCACTAAATTTTTTAAACCCTTATCTAAAGCTGATTATAACGATTAATTTTAATTGCGAATTTCTCATTAAATTGATTTTATTCTGATACATATTGGTTTTATTTTGGAACCTTAGAACGTATCCCCTATGATTCCTTACTAATTATATTACCATTCCGTATCCACGATTTCTGTATTCGTGGCATATTTACGGAACGTATACCCCACGAATGAAGAATTTTTACTGTACTATTATAATCACAAACATTAATATTAGAAGAACGAAGAACGGTGTTTTACGATTCGGTGTAAAATTTTAAAATTAATTTTTTTAACCACCTAAGTTTGACGTTGTTGAAATTGAAACTGAATATGAATTTAAAATGTTATCGCTACCTACCTATACTTATTCTGAATATATAGAGAAACCATCAAATAATAGTTACAATTATTTTGGCAAGTAGATAATCATATCTTACGTTAATAATGTCTATGTATAAAATTTTTATAGAAGAGAAAACATCAAATATTTTGCTTTATGAAAATCAGCAAAAGTTCAATATTAAAAAAACGCCTCTTTGGTGAAATGCCCATAAATCCGAGGCAATGACGATAAAAAAGTAAAAAATCCAAAAATTAAAGTCGTCTTCTAATAATGTATTTATTTGCACTACACTCTACACGTACATGTTTTTTTCATTAAGAAATTGATAAGTATTATAAACTAATATTATAGTCTTCACATATGTATAACCCAATCGGGGCTCCTCCTTGTTAAATGCTTTTACCGTTATATCACTTGCANAATTATACAACACGCTACTGAAGTGAAACTTCTTCAAACACACAAACATACCGGGATAGGGGTTAAGGAATTGGTTTAATGGTATTATTTGTACATTATGAATTTAAATTTTACACTATACATGCCGGAGTTGCCTGTAACGAACGTTGCATTGAAGCGCGCTCATGGCTCAAGCGCTCCCCACTACGAACTCGACTACGTGCCCGAGTAAAGGGGGGACATCCGTTGCATGATTTCGTTACATAGCAACTCGCATGAAACGAACTTACCCTACCGTGCGTAAAGAAGTTCCACTTCAACTAGTCCGTCTCTGTAACGAATTATTTCTTTCTTAGGCTGTAAGTGGACCTTAAGACAGCTGAGAAGATATTTTCAACAAATAGGTGTACGAGATTGGTTGCTTTGGCAAAAAATAGAAGTAATCGTTGTACTGACAGTCTTAAGTCACCTAGCACAAATACCACCTACACTAAATTGTTTCGAGTTTTTAGGATTCGATATTCTTATTGATGAAAACATAAGGCCATGGCTATTAGAGGTTAAAATATAAACTACATTTCACAATAAACACATAAACAATTACTTAATGCAGGTCAACTTGAGCCCCGCCTTGGGAAATGACTGTGATACGGACCGATTGGTGAAAAAACCTCTTCTTCATGACTTATTTGATCTTTTGGGATTTCCACTGTACAATACTGGATTGTCAGTGTTTAATATATGGAATGAAGAGTCAAAAGAAAATACACTGTGAGACCAATTATAAACTAAATTTAGTAATACAGTGTAAACTCTTTATAACGTCACTCGGTTTAACGACAAACTCCTTAAAACATCGAAATTGCTTGACTTTGGTTGGTTTACATTGTTTTCTATACAATATTACACTCCTTATAGCGTCACGCTCACTCTATTTAACGACAACAATGCGGCATTATAAATCATTAAGCAGTACTTTCTAAGTTGCCGAAATAGATAAGAACTGCAGCTGTGTACGTTGTTGAAGAAGACGATCCTGTCCCTCCACCAAGCATCAAACAAGCACTTGATGCAGCGAAACTATTAAAAAAATACTTTTTATATAATCAAATTGATCCAGCAGTATCTCAAGATATGAGTAAGATACGTAACAAAATACAATTAAAATATTGGAGCAGCAAAAAACATCAGACGAAGATAACAGGCTATACGCAATGTATGAATAATAATGTTCGTGTGCAAAATGTGTACTATATTGGTAAATGCACATTATTATAGAATAGTAAAATAATATCTTTTATTTCTCTCCATTTAACGACCACTCTTTATAACGCCGAAAAACGTTCAGTCCCTTAAGTGTCGTTATTTAGAGTTTACACTGTAATTAATAAATTTGTTAGTCAGTAACGCCTCGCACATAAACATTGTGAACTGCAACACGTCCGTATTCCTATTTGATATTATCGATAAAATTTAATAAGAGTCCTTTTTCATTAAATTATTTTTTTATGCTTGTGCAGTTAAGCAAGATATTTACTGAACATAGATATTATACATTTATTTGTCGGCATTTCTTTTTTTTATGTCGAAGGAGGAAGAGTGTATAATTTGCTGAGCATCTATCCTAGGGTCAGGGTCGTCTTGACAACCTGGGCGACCTGACGATTACGGATTTACTTTTTTAGGTTGAAGGTTTTACATTTACTGAAAGAAAAATTTATTATGCAGTTCAGCATTGTCGCAGCTAGCTCAAGTGAACATCTTTTTTCCTCTTAGTAATCATCCCCTCGCTCTATTACAAATTTCCCTCGTTTTGGAATGAGTATTACAAATAGACCTAAATGCGAAATTTTACGTAACGTCAAAATTTTAGGACACAGTCCGTTTATTAAACTTTTTAAATATATATAAGTTAATCGAACTCTCAAAATCTTTTGAGCTAAGCCTAACATCCCTCAAATGCTTTAAATTGCATAAGAAGAAAAGAATGGCTAAAAACATTTAGAATGAATGTTGAATGGTACGTCTGTAAAAAATATATAAATAGCTGGTGGGAAGCTGCTAGTTTTGAGGGAGTAAACCATCATCCCCGCAGTCCACATTTATTCGGCTTGTAATTGATATTTGTTTCCTTTTACACAATTATAAATCTAAAACTAAAAATTTTCCGGAGCAGTACTCTTACTACCTTTAACTGGCAGCCGCCACTACATTAATTCAATCTTCCTCCAGAAAAAATCGCACCGCTAGTATATAGATAGAATAAAAGGAAGAAGAAACCCATTGCTGCATTCCTTCTTTGGAAAATTTCACATCCATTATAATTTTTTAACCTCTATAAGAATACGTACTTGTCGATACATAAAACTTACAAAACGGTGGTATGTACGTATGTACTTGCTAATGTTACTATTTTTTTTCGTTTTTTAGTGGTAACAGCGAATGCCAAAAGGTTAGTTCTGTAAAATCTCATCAGAGANTACATGTACATAAATTTTTTAATTATACACACTCAATGGCCAAGAATTTAGGAATTGTAGGAAAAACTTTTTCATGCATTTTCCACCACTCTAAAATATTTTGATTCCTATTTACTTTTTCTAACCGCAAGAGTTAACAAGTTGAAGTAAAAATGTGAAGAAATCATACACGGTTATTGTTTTTTTTTGTATTTTCTCTCTCTTCTCTCTGTAAAGTTTCTTGCATAGCTTTTTCTCTAAGAATACGTACTTGTCGATACATAAAACTTACAAAACGGTGGTATGTACGTATGTACTTGCTAATGTTACTATTTTTTTTCGTTTTTTAGTGGTAACAGCGAATGCCAAAAGGTTAGTTCTGTAAAATCTCATCAGAGAGCTTTGTCCGTTGTACACGCAGCGGGAAAATGGAGGCAAAAACAGAAAAGGATTTCCTCCGCTTCAAAAGATAAATTATCGTCATTTCGCTCAACCTCAAAAAATTCTCAATTAACGTTTAAAGGTGCGTTAATGTGCCCGAAAATTTATAACACCCACATTAGATTATTTATTGATTTACGATCTTGGCAGAGAGAGAGACAGCGCAAACTTGATTTTACCTGAATTAAACTGATATCATTGTTTGGAAAAATTGCTAAATATATATATAAGCGGAATAAATGAATTACCGAATAAACCAATCTCTTGCTAATACCGACGGTGTAGCATTAGACCAAACTAGACTGAGTTATTGGCGATTATTAGTATTCTCTTTAATTCCGGGTCCACCTGCCTTAGCTCAAAATTTTCTGTGGTCTCCTTGAACCATTCAAATAAATTATTTCACTCTTCTTTTGTTTTATTTCGTTTGTCTCATCTGTCTCTCCCTACCTACCCCCCATATCCCACAATTTCTAAAAGTAGTTTGAAGGGACTCTTCCCTCCGACTTTGTACTATTAACTTTGATTGATGCCGTTCTGATTTGGGCCCAAATGCCGTCGTGTGTTGGAGTTGCTTTCTAACGTTTCTCTAGCATGAGTGGCGAACTTCTTCAGAGGTCCTTCCATGTCCGATGCCTGGATGTGGACCGGCTGCTTTTCCTGTTTTCCTTTCTTCTCCATCTTCTCATCCTCTTCTTCAAAAAAAAGGGCAATAAGGAGTCTTCCACAAAACACATAGCCTGTTTGAGGGATGGGAGTGGGGAGATCTGACAAAAGTCTTCATAAGGTGGGGATCCAAGTGAAAATTACGTAGCTGTATGTAAATACACTAGTTTTTTGTAATATGGTGCGTTGCAAGTTGCAAATTACACCACCACTTGGAGAATGAAGTATATGAGATCTTTGTGACGACGATGATAATGAACAATTTCCTACGATTCAAGATTTAAAAGACTGGCTAGACTAACAATTTGTACCCGTTGGTGAAAGTTAAATTAAGAAATATTTTTGTTTTGTTTTTTTTTTGTATTAGAAAACCTGAAAAGATTAAAAGAAAAGCTACGTAGAGGAAGATTGGACGGAAAACTACGATAGACCATGTGGGGGGAGCGGGGATCCCAAAAGTATCGAAAATACGTGGTTTAGTGAAGGCTCCTAACTGCTCAATCAGCAAGCGAATAAGTTTTATCCATCGCTACGAGAACGTGATAATAATCGTCCAAACTTTGTCAGACTGGCTCTGCGCCCACCAATATTAGTAGCTGGGAATCAATCGTACCCCTTATCGTCCTGTGTCTTTGAAAAATTTTCAGAAATCATCCAAGTGCAAAATACATTTACAATACAAATAATAAATACACCGTATAAAACACTTTAATCCAAAATTCCACATACCAAAAATGTGTAAAAGTCTAACGTGTGTCTTTTATTGATAAAGACACTTTAAGTGTTGAAACGCGTAGGTATTTGGTTTTTAAACATTTTGTGTGGGATTTTGGGTTGTAATGCCTTATTATTTGTAACTATAAGATTAAGTCAATTATAGATTTACTCTCTCTCTCTCTCTCCCTCTTATTGTGTTGTTAAATACGGCACAAAATGCCTATGTTTTTTCATTTTTGTGCGATTAATATTTAATTTTCTTTTTTTTTTTAACAATTGGTACAAATAACGAACATTATTATACATCTTTGAATCGTACATAGTACGTCTAAAGAATATAGATCACAATTTATAGCAATATAAAACAATTGTAGGGACAAAGCCTGCAATTGCAAAGTTTACTGGTCAGAGCAAACAGGAATTAGACGAACAAAATAAAAAGGTAACAAATAGTAAGAGTAGAGATAATATTTTTGTACTTTTACATTAAGAATGATATTCCTGTCAATTGTACTGTAGTATGATGAAGAGTGGAAAAGAAAACATTGCTCGAGTAAATGGGGAAATGGAAGAGATTGGAAAAATTCTCCGGAAAGCGAAGGAGGATGGATGAGGATATGGCCAGTGATTTCAGATGACAATCAGGACGGTGATTTTCAAACTAGGAGGAATGTTAAGGAAATTGTAGCCCAGGTAGGTCCGTTTCAACTGAGAAAAAAATGTAGGTACCTACCAATTAAGTTATTGTCAGATAGATATACTTCATTTACTTTCTGTAACGATGTGCCCCTTCCAATGCCATGGATGCGCGCTGTCAAAATCGTAGATAGGGAGAAAAAAGCTCGTTATACTTTCGACTCATTAAACATACTTTTTCATACAGTACATGCCAAAAGTTTTGTTCAAGTCAAAAACAAGCATTAAAGCCTTTAATATGTCTTCAAATATAAATAAATACCTCGTTGATCTATCCAATAGTAATTGGTACCAATAACAGCACATTTGAGCAATGCAATTGTAGTGGATAAAATGGTAAATTTTTCCGTGCAGTAGTGTACGGATTATACGTTCCTCACCGGTTAAGAGTTTGGCGAGAGTTGTCTCCTTCCTTTTCTGGCCTAGTGCTGTGCTTTTCTACTTTGCGCCGGTCAAACTGAAGGTCACATCGCTACAGAAAGTAAACGAAGTATACCTATAGGTACTTTGTCTAACTCTTTTTCTTTAACAAAAATGAAACAACAGAGAAATATTAAATGCGAGGTCATATTTCAAAATTCGCGATCTACAGGATGTTCCCTAAAAGTACAAAGTAAAAGGGTTTCACACGAGTCGAGAGTATCAGAAATCTCGTGTTGGTTTCGTCAATTCCAAAAAAGTCTCGGTCTCGTCTCGTTATCAGCTGTCTCGTCTCATCTCGCTTAATTATAAATAATGACAATAAATATTATATANAACTTTTTAACGGTTTAGTGAATCGATTTGTAATTTTTACAGGAGTTTTAGAATTCAATGAGGAACGTTCTTCCAAATTTTTATTTGTCTCGTAGCATTTTGACATACCTCCCAAACATCCCTAAAAGGATAACCGGTAAGAAACTCTAAGTGTTGGTGGCACCCCCTCCTGGTCGGGATGATTACAACGCTTTTATCAATGTAAGTTTGTTAACTTGTACGGTGTATTGATCTACATTGAGAGAAAGATCCTTTTTATATTTTTGTCAAATTTTTATTTGTTTGGTTACCTATCTAAGTTACCTGACAACTAACTCTAAATCCATGTGTAATTGTCATATTGTCTTTTTGAATTAATTATCAATTTCACTTTACTATATAATAAAATTGTTATTGTTTTCCAATCTTGTATTTCTTATCATTTTAATACCTTACGCCCAGTCACGACAAAATAATAAGAATACATTATAATCAGATAATTAAAATAAATAATTAACAAAAAAACCTAAGATACAAAATATTGTATAATTCGTTCTTCATTGTAACACGTTCCTAAAAACTTACCCATTGTATATAATGTACGTATTCTTAATTATATCACTTTATATTGTACACCACCACTTCAAACTGTACATCCACATACATGTATCATACATCCGTTATCAGTTCATATGCACTTACTGATAATTTCAGTTGCTTGTGTGGAAACAAGAAGTTTAAGAATTTTGACCAAAAGTTGTAGCAAGGAAAAACATTATGCAACAAGAAGTCCCTCAATGTTACTTCTGCGGAAGCCTAGTTTTAGGTTATTCATACACGGTTATTGAGTTTTTTTTTTTAATTTACAATAAAATATTTCACAGATGGTCACAAGATTTTATATTTTGTAAAATATTTTGTTCTCTGTGTAGACCTTTTTTAATTTTTCGAATAGAAACTTCATAAAAAAAAATTAACGAGGCCAAAAACGAGACTCGAGTTGCGCTGTATGTGATCTCGGTATCGCCCATAATATTTTTGAAAACGTCTCATCTCGTCTCGTCTCGCTTTTCCGAAACGAGAACGAAGTGAAACGAGAAAAATCTCAGAACAAACAAAATAGCTCAAAACCTCAACGCCAAAACACTACACCGTAGTTGTCCAAAGCACTTTTCGGTAACATGATTACCTTCTTCAGGGACTGAAGTGAATTGCCCTAAGTAAATATGGTGTCATTCGTTATTTCTGCAGTCCTCACAAGCACATATGATTCAAAAACAGATAATCCTAAAACTGCAAATGGTGCGGAACTAATTTTAATTCATGAAAACGGAAAACGTGATAGTTAATTTCTTGGAAAGTTTTCTCAATTTGATAAGTAGGAGAAAAATTGTAGAAATTATACCTGCCTATGTTCCTACATGTTTTGAACACGATCAATTCGTAGAATTTAGAAAATGAGCAAGGTGAAAAAAAATCGAATATTTTTCCGTTGTAACATGTGGACTAAAATACAAATTTTACATATTGCCTAATATTTATTGCTGGACAAATTGGTAGAGTGTTTACGACTCGCACAACATACTATTGTATACCCCATTTAATTTTACTTATAAATTGCTTTTTATTCAGCAATTATTTAATTTTTTCAGATAACAAAATTGGAAAAAACGGCTAGAGAGATTGCAAAGAAGCATCCCCACGCATCCGAATGCCAGTTAAATGAATTTCTTCAGCATACAGTGGGGATCAAAAATGAAATTTGGATTCCACCCATTTAATATCTAGTCCAACTTAATTAACGTATTATAAATTTGTGTGATATTAAGAAATTATTTATGCAAACAGTTTGACTGCCGTGTTGATACTGCCTTTATATGCATGTGTATACGTTTAAAATCCATGTTTATGAGCTTAAATATAACAAGTTGAACTTTAAGTACTTTCTTTATATACAAACTACCTCCATAGCCTAAATCAACTGTGATGCTGTTAATGTCAAATTTTTGAGTGTAGAAAAACGTTATAGTTGGGAATTATTTTGAATTTCGAGAAAATGATTACCTTAGTCATTCTTTTGAATGCAACAAAAACAAACCTAAAAACTCTGACAAAAATTCGCAACTTAATCAATACATTAAAAGATGCCGGGCGGTGAGACGGCTGTGATAGTTCCCTACGTTCCCGAATTATCTAAAAAGGTAGGCTATGATTATTATTATTATGCTATTAGGTTATTAATTAACTATATAAAATTCGTTGCTGTATAACATAGTGGTCAAAATAAAGATATAAATTCGTTTATTCTTTATTGTCAAGCAGTGGAGTTTTAAGGAAACTCAAAAACCATATTAGACTTTAAAACATATTTCAAAATTAATTAAATATTTCATAATTATAATGTTGTAATTATTTCAAAATTCATCAAACAGATTTCGATTTCGTTTACTTGCAAAATAAGCGTATTGGTATTCTTCAGTAAGCGAAAAGTTCATGGTTCTGGTTATTGTGAAAATTATGGAACTTTACAAAGTCATCAAAAAAGACAAAGGATTTCTAAGCCAGATAGTATCGGAAATTTCATTTCGTTCAGTTTTTCATTAAATCAGCTAAATCAAAGAGATTTCTAGAACCAGTGAATGACCCCTGTTGAACTGTGAATCACTGATTCATCAATAAGTTTATCACGTGAACGGTAATCATAGACAGTCGACTGGGGAACGCATTAACAAAAAGACTATACCCTTAAGGATGTTTGAGAGGTACAATCAGAGACAAGAGTACATAAAATTAGAAATTCGTATTAATTAGGTTTTGCAGCATACCATGAGGTAAATAAATACTATCTATACTAAAAAAAAAAGTATACGGTTTGAGAGAAAATTTTGAATTTGACCAAAAACTTTGAATAAAATAAGAAATAACGAATAATATGGAAAAATTTTAACTGACTTTTGGCAGTGAATATGCCTTGATTTCAACTTCGAAACAAAAAAATATTTAGTTTCAATCTCTATTAATAATGAGCGTAAAACTTTTTAATATGTTTAAATAATAATTAAAACTTTAAAATTGCATTTATTTCAGACAATTATAAATATTATCATTATATTATCAAGTAAAAACGAGATTTTCAGCTAA